TTAATTGCACCATCTCGACGAAAAACGCCATGAGCAGTATTGCCGGCAACAAGCATATACTTGGAGCCATTTGATTGGTCGATGGCAGAGAACACGTCAGCTAATGATTTTGGCCAGAACCATTGACCACCATCGTCATATTCGATCGGCGAACGTTTTTTCAGGCCATTACAAGCGCCGCTACAAGCAACGCCAGTCTTCGGGCACATTTTATTGCTCAGGTCTTCAATGTCACGACATTCATCGGGTATCTCAATATTGCTATCGACTGCAAAAGATTTCATGGCATCCAGTATGGGGCGGTAGCCAGTGCAACGGCAAATGTTGCCACCAAATGAATTCTCCACCTCTTCCATGGTAATTGTGTTGCCCTTCGATTTCAGCAAGCCATACATATTCATCACGAAACCAGGCGAACAATAACCACATTGGGTGCCGTTCATCTTGGCCAAGCGCTGCTGAATTGGATGGTAACCCTCGCGTTTGTTGCCAATGCCTTCAGTAGTGGTTATCTCCCAGTCGGCGCAGGTACTCAGCAATGTCAAGCACTTTAAATAGGGGGAATGCATTTTTTACTGGGTTTAACATAAATACTTGACTTTTGTTTTGGTTTTTTTTCAAAACTAAGCATAAGATTGTACACAACAACACTTCATAAGCCAACAAAAAAAGTTCGCCGTACACCGCTGAGTCTACAGTATTTTTGCAAGGCAATTTCGGAAAAAAAATTTATTATTTTACAGTGGCACCCACATTCAGCAATACAATTTTTTTTAATAGTTCTACTGAAATAATAGAAATACTTCCATAGCAAAAGTTACTGATATTTGATGAGCTTTTATTTACTGGCATTAGGGTGGTACGTTAGAGTAATAAGTATTGAGGTCTGGTGTGTAAGTACTAGAACGGGTACTTGAGATCAATCAACTTTTAAGTCAAAAAAGAGCTCCTCGAGACAAACAACATCGATCCAACATACTTTAAGATCCATCTCTAAATTTCGAAGGTACGACGAAAAATGTAAAAAGGTGACCCTTGCATACGTTTGGCCAAAAACAAAACAATTTTTCGAAATTGCCTTGCCAAATTATTTTAGACTCAGCGTGTAGGGCAAATTTTTTTTTTCTTTCACTTTCTAATATACATAGTACATATTTGTGTAAACCCTGTTAAATTACGACTTACTGAGTTGACGGCCCACGTACGAATTTCCGCTGTGACTGGGTGTTTACCTGTAACCACGCAAATGCATACACCGCATCCGCCCTCCTGGCACATAAATTTAGTACCCGGCAGGCCCGCATGTTCTCGAATAAAGGTGTTCAAAGTAATATCCGATGGCAGATCGGACAGCTTAGCTGCGTAGTAAATTTGTGAGGCAATGCTATTGGACAGACTTACATCAAATATTCTTACCTGTATAGGGTGTACCGTTGATTATAAAATTGGTTGTCATTTTTCACACTCTACTTATGTATTTATTACGCAGATCGTAAATTGACAAAAATTATGCAGCGATTCGTTAGAACTAAAGCACTAGTTATTTTATGTTAACTAAAAACTGAGACTTGCGACACGTCTGTTCGGCACGACTCTGTTTAGCAAAATTGCATGTATAGTTTAATTGCTTACGGCGCGCCTCTTTTTATAAACATTTATTCTAATGCAACAAGTGTTGTTTATGATAAGATTCGCACTTACATATGTACATACATTCATACATGCATTTGCGAGAGCATTTCTGTGAAAGCTACCCAGTAAGAAAAAGGGAGTGCAATTGAGTGAACACTACCAAAGTTTTCATCTTGAATTCAACGTATTTCTTATTTCTTATGTCTTAACAATTGAATATATGTATATTTAGATATTTACAACATTCGATATTACAAAGAAATATTTTTTTCGGTGAGACAGAAAATTTATTATGCGTCTCTTATGATACTTGAGAACCCCCTAAGCGTCTTGTTAGCCATTAAAAATTGAACGACATACATGTAATGAAACAACAACTATGACACTCTCCTGAATTGTAGAATTGCATTCCAATGTAATCGCCGGGTTATTATGTAATTGAAGTTTAGACGTGGGAAATTTTATTGGAACTAAAAGAAAGGTATTTAAGTGTTAATTTATGTATATTATTATAACTTAAGGGGCTCCAGGAATATCTAGGGAACAAAAGAAATTCCGTTGGGAGAATCAATCCTTCACTTTGGTATATCACGGAGTAAATGAATTTGTTTGTCACTATTTTACTTTCGATTCAGTTTATAATGCTGCTGTTCTGGTGTTTACCTGGGCATCTTCAGCCGCTAGAATGGTTCTCCAGCTTAACCATGAGTAACTTCGATAATTCGTTACGATGCTCTGGAAAATGTTGTACACTAATTCGTCTTTTGCTCTCACGATATTAGAGAAATCCGGTGTGAAGGTGATTTATCACGTTTGGGCACTTGAAGGTATAAGTTCCCTTTTACACCTAGAGTAATTGTTGTTAAATTCATTTTTTCCTTGTAATTAATATATCGACCCCTTTTTCAAAATTATCGTATGTGACAGAAACGAAATCTTTGAAAAGAGAGTTTTTCTATGTATGTACTTCTAAAATTTTCTAAAATGTTTTCCATTTGAATAGGAATTGAAAATTTAATTGATTTTTTTCCAATTCCTTTGAAAGGAATTGAAAATGTAATTGATTTTTTTCGAGTTCCACTCCTCTAAGTAATTTTAAAAGTAATCGAAAAATGTATTAAAAAGATTTTTTTACTGTTGAATAGCAATAGCTTTGTTAAATTTCTTGGTTGCTAACTGTGTTGAGTAAATAACTTATACCAAAGGACTTTAAGAAAACTTAAACCGTAGCTGTTCAGTTTATAGGGTAACCGTTAAATTTTCCAGATCCTTTCGCGAACGCATACCCCGCCCGAATAAACAATAAATAGGGTATTTCAGTTCTCCACAGGCATTGATGCCGCCGTTGACGATGGTGGACTTTAGTGCAATTATTGATAGACCCTTTCCAGAGCACCGTGACGACAATTTCACCCTCATGCGCTGGTCTACGGTCTACGAATTTTCCTCGGTAACTGATTGAGCTCTTATTACAACGTTTAAATCACTTTATTTTTGTATAGCACAAACGATAATTTCGCTCACAAGAAAAATACATTTTAACATACAATAAAATGTACAGTAAATTTTTGGCGCAACTATAAGGGTTACAATATTTTGCCATGTAATGCGACCCGGGGGTGTGGGGTGTAGAGCAAATTTGCATCAAAGAGTTCCACATACGATAATTTCGCGCGAACGGCTCGATCTGCTACAAATTTGAACTTAATGGGCCCATAAATATGTATGATTTTGAGAGATATCTCAACGAGCAGTGTTATTAGAGGAGCTGATTAGATTTATTTTCAATTGTACTACACACTTCTGAATTCGTCTTGCTTTACGCGTGACGGTTAACACAGATTTTGTCCATACCGGGAGCAAAGATTTTACACACCAATAATGGTTTTTCCTACAGACCATAATTGTTTAAACAAAATTAAATGAGTAGTAGCAGCCACCTCTATTTACTTACCTAATGCAAAGAACATTGTAAGTTAAGTGTAATGTTTCTCTTCCAGTAAACAATCGACACGTAAATGTAAACTATGATATACATACATACATATGTATACAAATTGGCATTAAATATAACGAGAGAGTGCAAATCGGTATCTATTCTCTGTGCTCTAACAGTTTTAATACATATGTACATATTCACATAGTTGTGCGGCCGCTGTGGTGTAGTGGTTAGAAGTGCGCACTAACATTCCACAAGGTATGGGATCGAGCCCAGTTTCCGACTAACAAAAAAAAACAAAAGAAAATATAAACTGTTTTCTACTAGCGGCCGCCCCTCGACAGGCAATGGTAAACCTCCGAACGTATTTCTGCCATGAAAAACAGTTTCTCATAAAAATACAAGCGCCGTTCGGAGTCGGCGTAAAACGGTAGATCCGTCCCCTTTGTGTGACAACATCAAGGCGCACGCCACAAATCGGAGGAGAAGCGCGGCCAAAAACTAACATATGCTGTAAGCGCTAATCTATTATTATTAATTAATGAATTAATTGATTGGCGCTTACACATATGTTAGTGTTTCGCCAAGCTTCTCCTCCAATTTGTTCTATTCGAATTGCCGACAGGAAACGAAATTTAAATTGGGTTTTTCAAAAATAAAAGTGTAATACCATAAGCTCATACATATTTCTGGTTCTAAACTAAAGCCGGTTAGTAATATTAAGGACCTAGGAGTGCTTTTTATACCTTTCATGAGCATGAAATGGTATTATAACTTTGGTCCGATGTTTATAAGTCTGTTTGTCTGTCTGTTTGTATGCAATCTAGTCCCTCAGTTTTCGAGATATCCGGATGAAATTTGGTAGGTGGGTGTATTTTTATAATGTATTAATCATTTGTCGGAACCGGAAGAATCGGACCACTATAACATATAGCCCCCTTACAACAATTTGTTCAGATATAAGATTTTTCTTTATAACTCCTCCATTCATGCAGCTAGGAACATGAAATTTTGCAATACTTCCATCCATTATCAACAAAATACTCATAGTGAAAATAACAAAGATCGGATCACTTTTACATATTGCTCCCATACAACTGATTGTTCAGATATGCGATTTTTTGTTATAACTTTACATAGTGTGAAACTTTGATTTATATGGAAAATAATATTATAGAATGAACTATAATAATAATAATAATAATAATAATAATAATAATAATAATAATAATAATAATAATAAATAAAATAAATGCAAACAATTTTTAATGAAAGTAATCGTGAATAATATATCATAACAAGGTGTATACTTTCATTTGTCGCCTGGTGTACATATGCAAATTTTGCACGTTGCACGTAGCACGGATTGCATAACTTGCAAACACACAACAACAAAATACATAGGATACAGCATTTCCTATCGCTGCAAAGTATGCAACGTCTGGACCCATGCACATATTTTGCAAAAAAAAATCATAACAAAATAAATGCGACTCTGTGCTAGCTCTTTTGTTGTTGGAATTGCTACATGTTTCTCTCAATCCTCTCATCTCGCTCACTTCATTTTTAACCGACTTCAAAAAAGGAGGAGGTTAACATTTCGTAGGAATTTTTTTTTATGAATGTTACCGCATAACTTTGGACCACGTTAATCGATTTCGATAATTCTTTTTTCATCGCAAAGGCGGTACCTCAAGTGTGGTCCCATACTAATTTTGTTTAGATCCGATAATTGGATCGTGAATAAATTAACGATAATCTTAAATTTTTCTATAAGAATTGCAGTCGATTTTGCTTTTTGCTTAAAAATTATTGCTGTATCGCTGATTGCTACCTATGCAAGCTACCACTTCGCAACATGGTGCTATCGTACTTTTCCGCTTTTGAATGAGCATTTTTGCATTTTGTGCAATCCGTGCAACGTGCAATACTTCGAGAACACCCATATTAGTTTCATTCATTCTCTATATGTGTATTTCTATATTACAATTAAAAATGTCACTGCCTTCAGAATGTAGGAAGTCCTTGTCTTCCAAGCTTACCCTGTGTTATAATCCATCGACTTCTACATTAAGAGGATAAACCCCCCTTGCTACGCAACTGGCTCCCAAGGAAAATTCTTACAATGTGGCGTTACATAATCAGCTGATTTTGTATGTATTATTGTGTATTTTAAAAGTTAATTAGTGCTTTTTACACTCCAGGACGTCAGCATAACGAAATGACGAAAAATATATTATATTTTATAAATATCTATGTGTGTATCGATGGTCCTCTGCAATAACGGCACAACGCGAAATGCACAGAAATAAAACACTTACCACTGTTAAGAGTCTCATCTCTATAATCCTTGTCTAATACATGCATAATCCATACTTAAGTAACTAGGAAAAAATGTTAAAATAAGTGGTAAGGATTAGACAAAGATTACAGACATGAGACATTTAACAGTAGTAAGGGTTTTTAATTTTGAATTTTGAATTTTGAATTGTCTTGTTATTGCAGAGGATCACCGTACATATGTAAACACCTATGAAGTACTTTCTGGAGGTACCTAGGAACTAGTTTTCGTGTGTCGGATCTAAAAAAAAAAAACTTGATTTTTTTTTTACCCACCCTTGTGCACGTACCCATCGATATTCCAAGCTCAGGCCTTCGCAATCAAAAACTGTGTTCGAGAATATAAATGGGACCAGAATGTCCGACAATCAGGCAGCATTAGAGGCCTTAGCCAACATTTAAATTAAATTAAATTAAAGAAACTTATAACTCCTTCCAGGCTTCCAGGAAGTACTCAGAAAGACCTCTTGAACTTAGCTGGTAGGGTAGGCTACCTGACAGAACACATCGAGTTTGGGTTACATTTGAATAAAATTAATTATATC